ACGAAGGGGTACGTAGGTACAAAAGGTTCATAACCGCGGAGGGTGTAAAAATTGTAAAAACCACTTCTCTTCTTATCTCCACAATCTCAATTTGTAAGCATATTTCTTTTATAGACAAAATACACAGGTTTTCAAAGAGGTTCCTGTGGAGTACCGTAGATGTTTAGGATGTTAATACATTTTCTTTGCATAACCAACCCCCTTACCTCGATCTCTATTTTTCTTTGGGTTTTATTCATTTTTTTCCCTTTCATTTGGATAAAATAAAAGTGTGGTGGGTACTTTCATTGATTTTGCGAGTTAAGTCAATCCAATGGCTTAGCCTAAATATTTCTACCGCTACAATCAGAGGATTGTTTCGCTGAAACCTCCCCAAAGAACGTAACTCATCATTCTCTCCAGAATTTTGATGATTATGAGGGTTTTGCGCCATTGCTTGAGCCAAAGTTTCCAAAGCCTCAGCAATAGCGTCATCGTTTCTTCCACCAGCCATAACTCTACATATAGGCAACCAACATTAGAAGAAATAACACATCGATATTATTCACACACTAATCGACTAACGAGAAATAAACATCATATAAAAACCTGGCTAGTCAAACCAACCAGACTATGATACCACTATGTAACATCCTACTTCCAGACTCAACAATTAACTCAAATAATTCAAATATAACGTGTAATTCTCTAAGTAGAATGTTACTCAAACAAAACCATCATCCAAAAGTGAACCATTTGTTTTTCAATAAAACTTTACAATACGCAGCAGGAATTTTTATAAAGTATATGGCGTTAAAAGGCTCGACAACAATTTCAAAGTTAAACATGGTTCATCTCCAAAACAAAAGAAAGATGTGCAACATTCCAAAAAAAAAATGTTATTAACCACTTATTTTACTTATAACTTACTAATTACTTTCACTATTTCCTTAATGAATAAAATATATCATTAACCATTTTTCATACATTAAGCTATAAGTTATATTAACCTACTTTATTTTACTACTATTTTTAATGTTTTACTCTCATTAACCAAATTATAAACAATATTAACCAACCTTATACACACTATTAACTAAAGTTGTGAGAGAGAGAGAGAGATGTATAAAAGTCAAAACTAAAGTGACATACGATGTAAGTGTAAGATTTTGTATCAAAATAGCATTACTCATAAGAAAATGGAGAATATAAACCTCATATAACATGATATTAATTCCATTTTTGTCTCAAATCAAAGAAGGGAATTTAAGCATGTAAGTGCACTATCTTTTTTTATGGATGTAACTGCATTATCATCCACATGTCTTTGAGAAATTTTCGGGTCCATCGAGTGACTCATTTAAGACATGAACAACATATTACAACTATCATGTGCAAAGCTTTGCTGATCATTGGAGATTGGATGAATTAGGGTTCCGTTGATAAATTTTAATAAGTTATTGGATCTGAAAAACTTCAACATCAAATGAGATTAGGAGTGATAACTGCCATTTGAGAAAGGAGTGATGAGGGAAAGAATGGGGTTATCATTAAGATGTAATAAGAATTGATCAAGCATGTCTTGTTGGTAAATTTTGTTTGAATTTTGTTAAGAATCTGTTATCAATCAATTAGTATTGATTGATATTCAATTAGTCATAACTGTAATTGATATTATTTCCTATTGTATATTACTTGTTTGCATTTAAATATACACCATATGTGATCATATTCGACACACAAAGATACAATCTCAATATGGTATCATGGGCTGGTTGACCTGCTTTCTTCCACAATTTTTTTCTCCTTTTTTCTGGCCACCCATGGCGTCGCCATTTCCGCTACGTTTGTCGCTGCTCCTGAAGAATCGTCTCCTCCAGATCGGCCAGAATCTGACAACTCCAATGCCAACCGCCTACCCACGCGCCCTTACGCACCTTTTCACCTCTTGCGCATGACTCTCACGCGCCACCCTTCCAGTTGTGCGTTTGCTGCTCCCGTCGCCACCGTTTTTCTTGCCGGACTCGTTTTCTGGTCCAAGCCATCAAATATCATGGGAGATACTGATTATGTCACGTTAACTAAGATTCCACTTATTCAGTGTGAGAAACTAACCAGAACAGCCAACTGCGACATATGGGTTGGTGCCGTCAAGATGTGGTTTCACGATCAGAGATATGAGGATCACTTAACTACAAAAGTTGATTCTACTTCCTCCTCTAAACGCGATAAGTGGAAACAAACCAATGCTTCTCTATGCATTATGTTATGGTTTTCCATATCAACTAATCTCCAAGCATAGTACCAAGCCTTTACAACTTGCTATGAGGTTTGGGAAAAGGCTAAGAAAGTCTTCTCGAATGATGTCCACAATCTTTACAGTGTCATCACCAAACTCTGTTCTTTGAAATTGGATAATATGGATATGCAAAGCTATCTGACTAAGCTTGATGCATTAAAGGCAAATTTCACAACCTTAATGTCCTTTACAAAAGACGTAACAACTTATGCTGAACATCAAAATAAGTACTTCATGGTCATGACACTTTCTGGACTGCCATCTGAACTTGATTCCGTTCGAAATCAGATTTTATCAGGAACCAACGTTTCTAACTATGAAGCAGATAGTGAATAATTGTTACGCTTGGCTACAACTCATGCTTTTGGATCGATTCCTACTTCATCTCACACTAAATCATCTGCTCTTGCTTCACACTATCATGGTCGTGGTGGACGAATCGGAGGATGGGTGGACGTCATGGTATTCGTTGTAATTATTGCAATCATTAAGGTCACATTGAAATTGATTGTCGTATAAAGGCAAGAGAACAACAACAACAACCATAGATCATTTCCATCACTCAATCAGATATCACTAAAGATGTCACTATTTCTGCCTCTGATTACAGTGATTTCCTTCAATACAAAGCAACCCATTAACAATCATCATCTACCGTTGTTGCTCAGTCGGGTAATCATGTAGTCTTTGTCTCTACATCTTATGTTGAAAGACTCGGGAAGATATCGACTTCTAGTGGGTAAACTCAATTATCTTACTGTCACTAGACCGAACATTACTTTTGCAATGAGCATTGTGAGTCAATTCTTGAATGCTCCTTATGATACTCATTGGAATGCAGTTATTCGGATTCTCGAATATATAAAGAATGCACCTGGAAAAGACATATTATATGAAGATAAAGGTGATGCTAAAATCACTTGTTATTCAGATGCAAACTATGCAGGATAACCGTCGGATAGGAGATTCACTTCTGGATATTGCGTTCTTATAGGAAGAAATATTATCTCATGAAGGAGCAAGAAACAAAATACAGTTGCATTATCCAGTGATGAAGCTGAATATCAGGCTATGGTAGCATCCTCAAAAGAACTTGCATGGCTTAAGAATTTTCTCTCAGAACTAAGGTTCGGTGACCTTTGGACCACAAAACTTATGCGACAATAAAGCGGCACTCCACATTACGTCCAATCCATTTTTCCATGAACGGGCCAAGCACATAGAAATAGATTGTCACTGTGTACGAGACAAGGTGTTTTACGAGAAATAACCACAGAATTTGTCAATTCTAAAGATTAATTGACTGATATGTTTATCAAGTCTCTCAAGGGTTCTCGAGTGAATTATATTTGTAACAAGTTCGGATCATACAATATATACGACTCAGTTTGAGGGAAGGGGGTGTTAAGAATTTGTTATCAATCAATTAGTATTGATTGATATTCAATTAGTCATAACTGTAATTGATATTATTTCCTATTGTATATTACATATTTGCATTTAAAATATACATCATGTGTGATCATATTCGACACACACAGATACAAAAAAAAATTATTTTTACCCTTGTTGATTGGGTCAAAACAGAAATTTCTTGTGGTTCGGTGTGGATGTATCCGGTGGCGGAGGCATGAACCTAGTTTAAAGGTGCAAATTTTAAAATTTTAATTAATAATTATAATAATATATTCATAAAATTACACATACTTTACAATCGTATTTTACACGTTTTTATGGTATATAAGTATTTAATAATCAACTCATTCTTAAATATTATTGAACACATCTTTTATCAATATTTAATTTCACACAGAAATATTAGTTAATGTTAAATGAATTTAAGTCTCACCGAAAATAACTTTTTAATAATTTATAGAAAAGTTTATGTTTTCTACTTTTAAGTTTATTAATGTAAAAATTGATAATGTGATTTTAGATGTGTGATTGAATTAAGTTGTAATGATAATTTAGATGAATGAAAGACATAAAATTTTTAATACATGTTTATGGTATTGTCAGTACCCGTTTGATTTCTAACCATGGTATCTACTTGTTTGATTTGTAAATATGATTTGTATCAATTTGATTTGTAAACATAATTTTTACCATAATTCATCTTAAGTAAACATGTTTTGATGTACTTGTACCAGTAATTTACATTAAGTAAACATGGTCTGACTTTAAACTTGTACCAGTAAGTAATCTTGTAAACATGTTTTGATTTGTATCATTAAACATGATCAGTAAAGCAAACTTGTAAAAATGAGTCGTATCATTAAACTTAATTCATTAATTTGCAAGCCCATAAAAGGCAGAGTAGTAACACAAAGTAGCATGAGGTATACAAAAAATCCATATAGGACAGAGTACTCAACATAGTACCAAAATACATCCAAAACAGAGTACCTAAAAGACCTCTAACTTAGCATAGATCAAGAAGACATCATTACAACATTACATTATAAAATATAAATCAAGAAGACATCATTACAACATTACATTATAACATAGTTCCAAAAGAATCTAACTTAACAGACATCCAAAACAGAGTTTCTAATGGCATCTATTTAGTCTTCTTGCTTGGTTGAGATGAACAAAATCTAATTCTAGGGACTGAGAAATTCCTTGTTGCACTTAGGCAAAACAACATCATCAAGATAGTGACAAAATATCATCTTATTTGGTTGATGCCCGAGAGACCTTTGCTTATTCCTCTACCAAGATGACAGAGATGAATGTTTCCCGGAAGAAGGAGAAGGACGACCGTGCTAAAGAGTCTCCTTCCATAACGCTGTGAGTCAGGTGGAACTGTTGTGCCCTTGTATGAAGTTCCCCAAAATCAACTTGACGCAGAAAAAGAAGAAGTTGATGGGGAGTTAGTCCTTCTGAGGATTGAATATTATTGTATTGGATGGTAGTTGTTGTTTGTTGTATTTGTAATGATGTTTTTTTATTGATATTTTGTAACTTCCTTTTACGATTAATGTTGCTTTCTTACTCTGTATGATATTGATTCGTTGCTCGAATGATTTTATTTCATCATGTCGTCTTGAATGCTTTTATTTTATCATATAGTTTCAAATGAGTTTACTTCATCATTACTTTGGTATAGTCGGCCCAAACCTGAGTCTGTTTTGGCTGGCTGTCAACCATGCCCGGCCAAGAGTCCGTTCCCCACCCCAAATGAAAAATTAGTTCGACACGACATATCTAACACTCTACCACATATGTTATGGAGTGACTAACTACTAAGATAGAGTGCGCCAAATGTGGCTCTGTTTCTTTCGTCTTTAGGTCTTATCACATTGATCTTTCCGTCTTTAGGTCTTACCTCATTGATCTTTCCGTCTTTAGGTCTTACCTCATTGATCGTATGTCCTGCTCTATATTGGTAAAGACAATCATACACTCGTATGTCCTGCTCTATATTGGTAAAGACAATCATACAACTATCGAAGTTTATTGGATTATTCATTTCAAAGACAGCTCTAACAAACACTAGCTTTTGACATAAACAAACACACAAGTAATAATTTATTTCATACATTGCCACTTAAAAACTCACGTTACTGGTTTAAAACTATTTTCTTTAAAAGTAAATTAAGATAAAAGAAAAAAAAAAGCATTACTTTAGACATGCAAGTATAGTGAAGCTTCACACAATCAACCTGTTTGGAGGGGTATATGCATTAGAGAAGGTTTTTTCACATCTCAGTGTCATATTAACGTGATATAACACAGAAGTAACAAACTGTAGAGTTGTCTAAACTGATTATTTTTTTTGCTTTAATATAAATATAAAATAAAAAATAGAATAAAAATGACAAACAAAACTTAACATATTTATTAACATAAAAAATAGTACATATTTAAACAATTACAAAACATGCACAAAAAGAACATTACACTGAATAAAGTATCTGAATGAAGTAACTCTATCTTCGTCCTGCCACATTCGATGATGGAAACACTTTCTGGATAAAATCCAGGAAGCGGCGCGAGTAGAATGTAGGATCCACGGCAGAGATAGATAATGAATCAAACTGAATAGATTTATACGCATGTTCAATCTTCTTAGTCATGTTGTAATCCTGCAATATATCAATGATACCGAGGTAAAGTACAACATCATAAGCTTCATGGAACATTTGCGAATCCTCTTTTCCTGGAATCTGTTCTGCCCTTGCTGGCATGTTCACACCTAGCTGGATTTGAAGTCTGCATAACGAGTTGCCAAGAAAGAAAAACCCTCAGTCTACAATGTTCTAGCAGATATCAAATGGTGCACTGAAGAACAGTTTTGCTTTAATCAATATGATCATACCAAGTGAAATGGTTAAAATTCATACCTTGCAGTACCGGGTAGAAGTAGATCCACCTCCTCATCACCGGCAGCAGATGCACGCAATCGGCTACCCCTAATGTGCGACCCGACAACAACACTGCCATCGTCTGCTCCCCGAGGGACCAGAACAAGACCTTGTGGATAGTTATATACTTCATCCTCTAGAGGGTCTGTAGTTGATTACCAAAGTTTTCAAAATTAATCACTTCCATGAAATAAATGATGTTATATTCTTGCCGGAAATAAATGTCATTCACAAAAGGGTCAATACAAAGCATTAACTTTCTAGATTAGATCTGGTACCTACCTTCCTCTGCAAGCCTTGCCAAACCATCTGAACTTATACTATGGTTGTATGACGCGGGAGGACGCAGCTGCTGGGGAGCTCGATAATGAACTCCTAGAAGAAGGCTATAATCCATTATGTGCTGTTCCTCTAAGAACATGCTGTCAGTCTCAATCTGCCTGCAAAAGAGATCGAGTAAGGTAAGAGGTAATATCCATGCTTTGAAGTTTAGCATTGCAGGACCTTACATCTTGAAACTTTCTAAAGACACGTCAGAAAAACGTTTGAAGTTCAAACAAACACTAATGGACCATTAGTAATGTTGAACGAGAGTAATTTGTCTTCCTCTTCTTTATGATCCTAGGAATAAAATCTTTTTTTATGACATCAAAAAACAAAAATTGAAATGCAAGACTAAAGAAAATATTTTGTAAATGCCACTTACTTTAATAAAGACTCCCGCCAAGACGGTTCCAAATAAAAGCAGTAGTTCAAATCCAAATCTTTAAGAGTGGTATTCTCATCAATTTCTATCTTGTCGGAAGAACGTCCAAGAGACGAACCTTTTAAATCGAATCTCCTATGGATCCTCAGTTCTGTGCAGAACATATTTCCCATTACAACAAAGCGAAACTGCAACATAGAAAATCATATATAAATGTCGGCCTCCATTAAAGAAAATAAAGTTTAAGTAGTTTCGCATGAAAGTTACAAGTGATGATAGGTTCACATATTTGATGTAGTACATTTTCTTTATAAATTTTTTCATTTTTTAGATCATTCGGATTTGCAAGGATTAAAGTGCAATTCACATTAGTGATTGATAAATAGTCAAGAAAATGTCCCAGTTGGAGATAAACGAGCTTACCTTTTGACCACTTGAAGGTATAATCCTGTGGAGACCAAAAAATTTGGTTATGAGTGTATTCTCATGTGACTTCACATGATGATGATAATCTGGTAGCATTCTTAGAAGAACCTACATTACAGATTACAGTCACACATTTTTTTATTTTACATCGAAAAATGAAAAGTAGACAAGAACACGTGAACCCTAAAGTATCATTACTAAACTTATGCACCAACACCACAAGTTGACTCAACATATCTAACAAGCTAAAAGCTCAATTTTCTATATTAGCTTTTGGATTAAAAAAGTAGTTTTTATCATCATAGAGAAAAGAGATATAGGAAATGTGGAACATAAAATATCATTCAAGTTAATGAGGCAAGCAATATCACACTGACAATATTTTTGTCTTTGAAGACCTCTCAATAAACATGTATGAACCTACATATCTATGTACATAAGAAAAACTGCATTTAAGTTAACGAAGCAGAGACATAAGTTATGTAAGAATAATGGTAACTTTCTATTTAAGGTTGTGTGCTTAATATATGTATGTAAGAGCGGCAAACGGGCATGCCTGTCCCATTTAGGCCCACCCTGCAAAAACCCGCAAAAAAACGGAGCAGGGTGGAAAGGACATTGTGTATGGCGCAAACTTAAAACCTTGGTCCGCCCCGCAAAAAGATGAGGGTGGGACGAGGCGGGCCCATGGGCACTGCACTTTTTTATTCTAAAAATTGCAAAAAACTTATGTTAATATCCGCGCCCGCATAAGCCTGCAAAAACGAGCCCGGCCCATTGGGCATAATATCAGAGTTCATGCTTCACATATAACCATGAAGAAAACACCCAGATATTATGAAACATGAAAGAGAACCAGTTGAAAACAATTCTCCAAGGAAGTTTGTATATATCTGCAACAAGTGCTAATAAACAAGATCCACATGAAATTAACACACCTTCACTTCTGATCTTCTCAATGTCTTGATCATGAACCGATCATCCTGAGACAGGAAAAAAACACTACCACTTTTCCCTGGAGAAGATAGTTCTCTCAAAGCATCATTTCCACAAATAGACATCATATAGTCTGCAGCATCAATCTTGAACAATTCTCTCAAATTTCTGCAACAGGTCACAAGGTCATATATAACAAGCATATGAAAGGAAAAAGAAAGAAATAAAGAAAGAGAGCAAAACAGAAGCCGCAATAGTGTTTCCTTACCATGTCTACAAACACAATTGTAAAAAATGAATTGTTTTTGCAATATTATGAAGTTCACACATCAACATCATACGCTAGAGGTGTTTGAGTAGTTGAAGGATTCAACATGAAATCGATGAAGCTTAATAAACAATTACACATTTACGAGTCAGTTTTGAATAATTATTCCATGCTTGTATACGCCTTAAGATGTCTGTAGGCATCATACTTTGAAATGGATATTCAAAATCAGATGTACAAATTTATTGTGTGCACATCTGTTTTTCCTTTTACTTATATCAGAAAACTGAGGAAAATTATAGAAAAATTATGGTAGATTAAAATTCAGAACAGTTACTTTAAGAGGAAAAAACTATATTCAGATGAAAACAGAACTAGTCATATAGCTTGATGCTGTCAACCAATCCATAAGAGTGGCAAGGAGTTATTTGCTAAGCAAGGTTTGGTTTAAATGTCTATCTACTAAGTCGATGAATGAAGCAGTGGTCACATAAAAAAATAATATGCCTAAAAAAGTTTCAACTAACCTAAACACCATAGGGCAGTAATCTTTCCATTTAAAATCATCTGACTGATGAGGTGGTGTCAATTGAGAACCTTCTTTAGGAAAATTCATCCAAAAGCTTGCTTTGGCACCAAAATCCGATGCCCGAACTTCTCGTCTTTGTATTGGGGTAATCTTTCCCACAGTATACCTAGCCATTTGAAGCTCGTTATAAAGTTACTTACAGAAAACCATGCAAAAGAAAATATTGATATTCCCGAATTACTTCATTTTTTCTAAACTTGTAGGAAGCAAAACCATGTAGCTGTAGCACTATTGTAAATGAAAACAACTAAAGTAGCTTGACTGTACAAAATGTCAAGATAGTGTATTTTACCTTATCCCAAGCTGCAAACTAAGCATCAGATCATAACTCCTGTGGCCTTTAATAATTTGTTCCCCGGGTCTTTTGATCTCTTTGGCAATTTTTTTTTTAAGCTGCTTTGCTCTTCTAGTTAGCGATGAAAAACTATTATTTAAAACTACCTCACTTATTAACACCCCTTGCATGTACTCACGTTCCAAAATTGGGATCTTTTCGTTAACCTCTTTATTTCCATTTTGGAAGACTGAATCTGTTGAAGCTAATTGTGAATCAACGCCAATCACTTTCTCAATAGCTACCTCTAGACTCCACCGCCTTTCGAGAGAAACATTTTTGCTGCGAGATTGGTCCAGATTTAATAGGTTTCTTGTAGCAAGCTTATCAGATGAAACACCACTTGATCTCTGGCTCTCACCGGCTTTTCCGTCCCCCATATCAACTGAAGCAGTATGATGAATATGCACCTGGTTCTGTTTTCTCAAATCGGGTAATAGCCCTCTTTTCCTTAATGCGTTGAGATATATTTCTTGTGCAGATGGAAGACAGCTTCCTTTTGGATAAAAGGTTCCTTTGCCATCTTTTAAACCCCGTGTCCAGGTCCCAACATAGCATCCCCCATCGCTCCAAGTATATGCCCCAAGACCATGCATCATGCCATTTAACCAGCTTC